CTTTCCTGCTTATGCAGGGGGTCGGACTCGATGATCTGTTGAGGTCCCTTCCGACCCTAACATCTATGAATCTATGAATCTATGAAACAGAAGAAAATCAGGGGGCAAAAAACACATGAGCTAAGGAAGCCAAAGCTGCACTCATATGGGAGCAAAGTGGGACCTCACCTGCCTGACCTGCCCGCCCATAAATACAGGTCTCTCTTGCCAACCACGGTTTTGCCAACCACAGTTTGAGTATCCACACTTAACATTCTATATACCATTTTGGCTACCACGGTATACAGTTTTGAGTCACCATGGTTTTCAGTGGCTAAGCATCAGCCTGCCAACTGCCATTTTTCCCATAAGCCTTTTGTCTTGCCAACCACAGGAACTTTCAGGAACCTAGCCCCAGCAGTTGGTGAGGGAAACCTGTATTAGAGTTTCCTTCCACAACTTCTTCCTCCAGCCTAAGACCAAGCCCCAGTGCTGGCCAGCCACTCCTGCTGACTTCAGTCTCCACCTCAAACTGGAGAGAGCCAGAGAACGTTTTACGTCAAATCTGAACAGATCTCTGTTTCTCCCCTGCACTCTGTGACCTCATTCTGGGACCCTGAACCAAAGTTTGAACGAAGCCACAATAGCTCCTCAGACCCCGGACACCACCCGTTATGAGGCCCAACAGGCCATCAAAATGGTGCCTGCAATCCAAGTCAAGAAACTTCCAAATCACACTGAATTATGTACAGCCCAGCTTACAAATGCTTCAGAGCAACCACTCCCTCTTATCACTGCAATGAACAAAAAGGAAGACTGTTTATGAGAAAGGTCTCTTACCGAGTAACTGCATGTCTCAAGAACAACAACACGATTGGCAAAGGTCTCATTGTGAGCTTCAATGAGGAGAGTTCGCTCCTTCCAGTTCACAGTGTTCTTCTGTATGAAAAAGACAAATTCTACACCAGCAATCTGAGGAGGAAGAAGACTTTAAGAGATGAGTGACCGAAGTCATCATAGCCGCAACCTTTAATGAGCCAAGCCTCTACTGAGGCACAGGCCCAGAAATTCTGAGATGTCACATATGTCAGAACAGACTCGCCTTCTTCAGTAGCCGGGGGGCATCTACATTCAGTTTGCAGCTTCTTTCGATGATATGAATGGCTCCATCATCACTCCTGGATTCATGAAGGATCTCGCTACCCAGGAACACAGGGATCTCTGGGCAGGTGGGAAACCGTTTTTCATAAGCCTAGGTGAAGCAAACACAGGGGGAAAAAGGCTCAGCCATAGACAGCTCAGGAGGCCTGGAGTGGTTTGTCACAGAGCAGTTATAAACTGTTCCCCTACCTCCACAGTAGGAGTCCTTCCCTTATCTCGGAGAGAAGAGGAGTTAATGGAGAGGTATACTTACAGCACAGTGCACAACTGTAAAATCATCATCACTAAACCAGCTCCAGGCCAGGAAGCTGAAGATCAGTTTCAACAATTATGTCACTCCTTCCTGAAACAGGAGCATACCTTCCCCTTTGAATTAGCATTTCTTGTCAAAAGAGTGCTGGGGAAAAGAGCAAAAAACTTGACTGGATCCTCAGCTGTCAATCGTGTACCTTAGCACCTGCGCTACCCCAGCCCCCACTGCAAGCTCCTTGGAGAGTAAAGCTCTCCACAACTTACTGTGTCAGCTGTACTACTGTAAATAAACAATGATTACACAAACAGGCCCATGTACATGTAGTATATAGGGAGCCTATGACTACGGCAGGAGTCACTGCAGCAATCTGGCCTGGCAAGGAATCTTCTCATAGATCACTTTGGATTCCTTTGGCACTCTTCCCTCCGTGGCTAGCCTCAGAGGATACTCATGGGATTCTGGTTTCAGCAAATGCATGACTGACTGGGGGGACACTTGTTGCACACAGCATTTGTACTTTCAGCTGAACAATGGGAACTAGCCAACAACAGAGGAGATCCGCTCAATCAGCAACCTGTACAGTATGAAGTCTGCCAATTTAAGAGCAACTGAACTGTACTCCTCATCTGCAGACGAAGGTCTGCATGTCCACAGCCTCTATGTTTGAATTTCTGGCTGTAGATAGTTGTGTGTCCTAGTGCTAGGAATAGCACCTGCTCTTAAAATAGTTCGGGCTTCTAAGGACACATACCAACTCTGCTGCTTCTTGTCCTCTGAATGGGATGGCAGCTTTTTCAGGTGATCATATTGCTCAGATATCCAGAGGAGGGAGCTGGAAGCGAGATTATCAAGTGTAGATATGGCCCTCATCAAAGCTTGGATATCCTTAACTCACCTTTTGGGTTAGCACATTTGCCAAGCTACATTCCATCCTCTTTACCAGGTCACTTTTCCAACTCTCCCAAGGTCCACAAGGCCTCCATTAGGGCCTTGTGTTTTAGACAAAATGCACTACATACTGATTGTCTCTATTCAACAGGACTCATAGGCCAAAGGAATTATTGCTCAAGCAGCTCAGCATGCTGCAAGATTTCAAGCGTCAATAGATATTGGTGTGTGCCCAACAACAACAAAGGTATCCACCTGCTAACAAACATGCTGCACTTTGCTCTAAGGTCACTCACACATCCCTGACTACCTACACTGCAACCTGCCATTGCCAGAGGATTAATGTGTCATATGAAGGAGGAGGCTGGAATTAATATTTCCTACCTCTTCTACAATCCTCTGGGTTCCAAATTCATGACCTTCACTCTCCCAAGGTCCCCAGCAGTATTTTCTTTCCATTAAAAAATGCATTCACACAAGCCATTCTTAGCTGCTAGATTCTTAGCATCTGGCCAGTAAAAGCTGCCAGCTAACCCTCAGGTCACTGGGATACGGTACTATTTCACATTCATCCTTATTTTTGTCTCGTACCACTTAACTAAACTTGCACTAAACATTCATCCAAAAGAACAAAAAACTTATTCTAACTTAACCTCCCTCCCTACCTAAGAGCTCAACCACAGGTAACAGCTACCATCACAGTGACTAGACAATGCAGTTGAGTACTGATGTGGACCAGAATTGTGTTGTTTGGGGTCTGAAATTTTGAAATATTGTCATAATACTATTAGGAACTTCTGCTATCACTACAGAGGTGTCAGGGGACTCTTCTTCCTCACCTATGCTATACAGTATGATCTGCTTGCTGAAGTCATACTCTGCCCTTCAAGCTCTTTGACACCTTGTTCTCCTAAGAGAAGAGAAGTGAAAAGTTCAACTATGTTTCAGCCGCTCTCCCCTCCCTCATACACACATGACCTGAAGATAAGGTAAAGTAGCAGGCATCCAAATCTACAGCTATAAAGCAGATGAACGAGGTCTGGAAGGGGGTGCAGGGAGAGCAAGAGAGAGCATGCATGTATGCACATGTTCACACACTAAAGGTCAAGCCAGTTGTAGACCTATAACTTAATTTCAGTCATAATTAAAAGTATTCAAGAATTTTTTGACAAAACTACTTTTCCACCAGAAAATGCCACTTTGCTGAAACTAAAACTTTTCAGAGAAAAAATCTTTTCATCAAAACTGTCCGGTCCAGAATGGTTTTGGAATCAAAAGGACACAATCTAGAATAGCCAATACCTCAGTGATCAGGGTACTTGGGAAGAAACAGGATCTTTTGCTCCTGCTAGTCTGTGAGCAATGAGAGTACTGAGGCCCACCCTGAAGCCCTTGTTCAGCAGCTACTCCAGTCACCAGCTGTTCAACAGGATCTTTTCCCTAAGGAGTAGCCAATGGTCTCCTCAGCACTGAAACCACATAGCAAGTTTTAAAAACCCCCACAATCCTTCAGAACATAGGATCCCTGGGCTCGGCCTTTGGACTGAGGAAGAATAGCAGCTGGTGCTCAACATCTGCCTCACTTGCTTCTTTCCTGATACCTGTCCCTGGTCGGAGAGGGGACAGGTTTCTTGATAAGCTGTTACTCATACCAGGAATTAAAAGCTCAGAAACAACAGCTGGTAACACCATGCAGTCACTTATCAATCACCGCAGCAGAGAGTAAAATTCAGCACAAGTGGGCAGAAGGCTGTTAGGATAAGTAATAAACTCTAGAGGATATGTATAGGCAAACACCCCTAGGGACCTAGCAAAGGCCACCACAGCAAAGCAGCCAGGGTGGCTACATTACCTCATTTCATTTCAAAGCAGGCCCACTGTGCTTCCCTGAGGTACCCCCTAATGCAGTTCTTTGACAGCGGAGACATGACCCGAGATTACATGTCCCATCATATCTCCTGAACAGGCTTTGCTTTCCTGTTTGAGGAAAAGTTCCTCTTCTGTATGCCAATGTTAAGCTCTCTGCTAATCTTCTTTACACACCAATAGCAACTCTAAAAATACAGCTGGTTGGAGCTGCTTGCTGATCACACGGAGGTATGGAGAGCTACAACAGTGCTTTGATTTCACTGATTAAAATCATATCAGTGACCACCCTGGACCACTTTCCCCCTCCCCTGTTTCATCACTGGGGAGAGGTAGGGTGCAGGCTGACCTGACACCTGGCAACTGGGTATCAACTTTCTTTGCCTCCAAGTGGTAGTAATCAATCTCAAAAGGAGAAAAGAGAAAGCCTTAAAGGCTAACAGTTAGGTGCCAAATCCTTCCTCTAAACAAATAGTTTCATAGTTGGTAGGGTCAGAAGGGACCTGAGCAGATTATCAAGTCTGACCCCTCAAATCACTGCACAGAGTTGAAGATAAAGAACCCAGCCTCACTCAACCTGCAGGGGATTCAGAGTGAGCAACCAAAGTAGGAGAACAAGCTCATATACCCACATTTGCCTTTCCAGCTGTTGGCTACAGTAGTTTTTCACTGACTACAGCAGGTAGCGTTATTTTCAAGGAATAAGGCCCAAGGAGTCATGGCCCAGATTTTCCCTAGTACAGTGCTTGCCAAATTTCTTTCAGGCCCATCAAAGTGATTCAAGTCATGCAATCGTGAATCAAATGCAAATAGTCATGAATGATTTGGTGAACACAGCCCTCTCCTTCGAGTGCCCGCCCTGGGATGAATATTCACTGAGCAGTACAGTGCCAGCTAACGCTCTGTTCACCTTCCACTTTCGTCTCCTCAAAGTCCTCCAGCCAGAACATGCCAGCACTACACCAGGCTCCATGTGAAACTGTGGAAATGCCTCTCCCCACTACAAGCACTTCCCAGTGCTGACTTACCACCCCATCAGGCAGGAGAACATTTCTGAGAACCTGTTATGAACAACTGCAGTAAGCTGTCCAAGCAACTCAAAACACTCAGCATGTGGGTAGCTCCCCATCCCAGTCAACACAGAGATCTTTCTTTACACCACAAATAAGTCCTTATCCTTTACCAATCTCTCTACATTTCTAACAGCTAGCTCATAAGGGTTACTCACTGAGGTTTACTCTATAGCCTTCTATTCATTGGAATTTTTAACCAGGATTTCTTACTAACAAAACCAGTGGAGACAACACTTTAGTAGTCACTAACTTTCTAGACACCAATACAGGTAGACCCCAAACTGAAACAACCTGGTGCTTACCCAACAGTAGGTGACAGGAGCATTGTCTATACTAACATTACCACTGTTGGTAGCAACAGTGGAGAATTTGGGACAAAAAACTCCTACCATGAAAATCCAGCATAAGAACATGAGTGTTACAACTTGCTTACAGGAGCCACTGATTTGACCCGTGTACAAAAAAAAAAAAGAGGGTGGCTGGTGTCCACATAGCAGTTTTCCTCACAACTGCACCAGCTGTGTTTGTGCATTCATACTACATCTGGGTGGAAAATGAATTTCTGGGGTCAGTAGGGTTTAAGTTTGTTTGTTTTGGGGGGTGGTAAATGCTTCTCTTTAGAATTAACAACAAATATTTCTGAAGTTTTCAGCAAACAACATTAGAAGAATCCTCTTGGCTCAACTGAAACATTTTTCAAAATGACAGGCTTTAAAATATTGAAAGAAAAACTTAAAAGACATTTTAAAATAGTCATTTACAAGCCAGAAAAAGAATCAAACCACCACATTTCATTTTGAAAATGTCATAACCGGCTATTTCAAGACTTATATGGGGGAGGGGAAATCAAAAACAAATTCCAAAAGATTCAGCAAAACTGCTGCATCTTTGAGAAATGCTTCACTGTTGCCAAATCTGCATTTTTTGGCCAAAAAAAATTAAACAGGTATGTGAGAAAAGTTTCTCCCAGCTCTGGTGTATAATACCTCTGCATTGGTGTGCTGTGGCAGA